GCTTGCGCCGGGAGCATGCAGTGGGAGTCGACCGCTACCCTGGTAGAAGCCGTCACGCAAGCGACATACACAATAATGATGTGCTTGCTACCACAACTGTTGTTTCTTGCTGATACCAGCTGCAGCTTGGTTGTACTGTCGTGTTGTACATGACTGTACTGGCGTTATCTCAGTGATACTATACCGTCTTATGGTACATCGCTAGGCTCAAAGTACGTAGCGTGTTGCTCTGAAACGGTTAGCCCGGGTTGTTTGCCTCGCCTCATTGGCTCAGAGCTGGGTGACCTTCCCATGCAACTGCCGCATTAGCAACATCGTGCACCTTTACTGGCTTTAGATGACCTGGTGCTCAGCACTAGTACAGTGGAGCTACTGATGCAGGTGTTACGTCGGTAAATGTTCAGATCCGCCAGTCCCCAGTCCCTGTCGATGATCTTAGCTTCCTGTATGGCTTGCCGCTTGTGCCACAGCCCGTGGACACCAGGTCACTGAGTCTGTCACCGGTCTATGGATAAGTCCTCTGATCGGCCACCTGCGACGGGCGGCGGCCATGCAAGCAATCCCGTGGCCGCGGCCTGCGCTGCACCAACGTCGTCGTCGGAGCTACAATGTGGCAGCATACATTTTAGCATACATGCCACCGTGTCGCCCGAGGCTACTACTACTACTAGACCCATGTACGTATTTATAGTCAAACCTGTCGATACACTGCTTCTTGGGGTTGAAAAATCAGGAAGCGCAAATCAAGTTATGGAAAACGTGAAAACACCTGGGGGGGGGGGGGGGACGACTTTTGGGAGTCAGTGGCAACTACCATTGAAACCGGCGAAGCTTTTTCTGGCTCTACCACCGAGGCATCTTGCGATTCCCATCGGTGTCCAGAAGGTATGTATGTACACGTACATGTAATAATAATAATAATAATAATAATAATTCTCGTCTACGTTCCAAAGGAACTCACGACAATGGAGTAACAAAAAGCACCGCGGCAGAGAGAGAGAAAAGAGAAGATATAATATTTGACGAAAACAATCACGGTGTAGATTTCACATGAGTTCCAATACACCACATCAGCAAAGCTCTTTCTTAGAAAAAAAAAAAAAAAAATAAAATAAGATAAATGAAATGAAATCATTGATCATCACAGTTAGTCATGTGTGTCCACACCAAAATCACAGTACATGTACTGATGTAGAAAGCTGAAGCGGATTTAGCAGTAGAATTCTCCGTCCTTTAGGAGAAGAGTGAAGCAATTTCAGTGCTCTCTTCCCATAGGCGATCGATTGCCTTTGCATAACGTTTAACAGTATTAATATTTTCGACGGGATGTTCGAAGGAAATGGCGAGGAGACAAAACATCCCAAACCCATTAAAAATACAAGCTGAACTCGAAACGTAGGTAATTTATTCGTGCAGTGCCAACCGATCGAAAACCAGTGTGCAATATGACGATGGGTAAAAAACCCCGATGAATTAGTGAAAGGAAGAATGGAGAAGGAAGGCAATTGCAGAAATACATTTTTCAAGGTACATGTACGTATACAATCATGTAGTGTAAGCCCACTTTTTGCGTCCCCCCCCCCTCCTTGCGTACAGAAGGCTAGTGTAATCTGTAGACTCCACAACGTCGGAATGTTGTGTTACCATGTCTGCATCGATTTTACTCTTGATTGCTTAAAATAGCGAAATAGCATTGAAATTGTTCAAAATGGGGTGTCATACATGGGATTGTTTGAGGTGGATGGGTTGGGCCGGTACTGGTCTGTGCGTAATGATGTACAGTGTACATGTACATGTACTCGTATTGTTGTCAATCTTATCAAATTGTTCTAGTTGTTTGGCACTCCAACTGTCAGTACCCACATGTTGGTTTTTCTAACTCTCACTGTGACAAAGCCATGTACATGTAGGTATTTGCCAGTGCTGCTATTGCTTCTGGAGAATGAAGTTGAAGACACCACTGCAGCTGTACTTATAGTAACCGTTGATAAATATGCTATTACTTCTATACTGAAGTACACAGTCCAGCAGAGAACGGAATGGGAAGACGGAACCAAGGGGAAACCAGTGCTGCTATTAAATGTACGTGGTACACGATACATAACACATATACGATGGTTTTCGATGAGTGTTCATTTGGGTGGCTTTATCCATTAGCGTTACAGGGTAGATTTCTGATCAGTGTTGTTTGAAAATTCAGGCGAATCGTTCTCGGTTGTTCCTTTCATATCTTGTTTGCATTGTCTAGACCCTATTTATTGAGTATCTGCTTTCCTTCCTTGCGCACTCCACGAACGAGGTAGCCACATGTCTATTCAGCTTGCCCTCTTTATTCCGATTCTAAAAGGTATTAAAACATTAATATACATGCACATGTACATTGCAAGCGGGAACTATGGATAGGTGCATCCCCGGGGATCCTACGCATACACCTAAGCTTGTGCTCCACGGCCTATGCACTTACATGTATGACCATTCACCACTTGCCTCATTGAGTCAATACCAAGAGTGGCCTATGGTGAGAAAGCGCTTCTCCTATTGCGAGTGAAGTAGATTGCTCAGTCAAGCATAGGCAAGCATAGGCATTGAACGAGATGAAAATACAATAATGTACATATTCGGTATTTTGAATTTTATACAGTGTTTGCCCTAGCAGAGTATCCGGATTTCCCTTCAAAATCAGTGTGTCACATTTCCACATATCCCGGGAAATCCACCGAAAGACAGCCATTCTCATCAGTTGAGGGTGATACAATGTGTAACGTCTGCAGAAACATTTGACTGTCACCACCAGACTAAAATACACGTGATCAAAGACCAAAGACCGACGTTCAGCGGGTCATCGCAGGATATGCATGCGGTCGGGATATGGCAGTTCAAGGGTCATAAAGTGAACTATACGACGACCACCCGATACCCATCCTATTGATGTAGTACCTGCGCCTCCCATCCAATCACTGATAAGCTTGGCGACAAGTCGCATGACCAGACAAATGGGTCTGTTCGAACGCCACTGGCACGATTGCTGTACCTTATCAAGTATTGCGAAAGGGGTCTGGCAAGGAACAGATGCCGATACCATTTCCAGGTGGAGTATCCTTCCACAGTATGATGCTGGGAATAGTTATTGGCACATTAAGGTCAACCCAGTCACATCCGCGCGGGGTTCGTTATGATATTCGTTAATGTGCAGCGAAGGGCAGTTCCGATAGAGTTTCATTTCACCTGGCACTTCACTTCACGTTCGATGCCTGTTTGACTTCGACGCAAGGTCGCCTACGGTGTAGGAAGGAAATGTAAGCAAAACAAACTTGAGGCGAAGGAGACGCTCTTCCTTCAACGCATGTACAATACATGAAATACGCAGTCTTCATTTGTCTGACTACACAATTCAATGCAAGATGCAGCGTTAACTTCCGCGGCGTTTGAAGCTGTGCATATTGAGTACACAATACTTTCGTGGTTTTGTGGCGAGGAAATTTTAGCACGCCATAGTTTGTAACCTTTCCTTCATGAAGTAATTCTTGTTTCAACAGAAGGCAGCGTTTATGCATCAAGCATGTAGTTGTGGTTATTCCTCATTTAATTGCATCGACTGTATCAGGTACAATGTGTACCGATCGTTTATGTGAACTTGGTGTTCTCTATTTATGCCATGGATAAGGGGCACACGCTCCTGCTTCCTCCCTTTTCCCAAAATCCAAAGCTACAAAAGTGCACAACCACTTGGGTAGGCCGCGGATATTGTGTTATCCGCTGCCGTATACTGGATATTCCGGCCATCATCCCCTGAATGTGAAAGCAAAGACTCAGGCTGAATATAGTCCATGGCGACGCTGCGGTTATGCGTGCTCTTCTTCTTTTGGAAAAGGCAGTTCGGCAGGTGATGATGTTAAGCACTGCTCTGCGGGTATACAGCATGATGGGGTGCGCAAATTCTTGTGACTAATGGACCAGTTATCTGTTATGTTTGCAGGGCAAAGTACAGCGAAGTCAGCATAGCACCCTCTAAGCTAGACCAGTAGTCTGCCCAGGGGATAGGTAGCAATGTAGCACCTGGCTACCTGTATTTTTCACGATAGGTTTGCTTCGTTACATGTACTGATAACGTTAACCATCGGGCACTTCGGGCCTTACTACACTGCACATTCAACTTCCTACAAACGGCCTCCAATTCTGCTACGCAGAATCAATTGAGAGCGCGAAAGGAAACTTTCATGGACAGGTACAATGTACATGTTAGTTGTACGATATAGGTTTGGCTAGTGACCATCATCGGGCGGTCAGAGATATCAGTGATATGATTGCAAGCTAAAATCGGCTTCGTTCTAAGCAGAGCCTGGACACCCGTTAGCCATCATCCTGTTCCATGGTAGAAGCAACGCCTGCAGTATGCACAGCCTGGTTGCGGGCTGTACTGGAACCACACGGCTACCAGTCAGCCGATAGACCTAACATCCCGACGACCAAGGTTGACAGATCACATACAGCGGAAGCAAGTCATGAAGCGAAATGCTTACACGTACATACAAACTTAGACACACGCGCCTGGGCGGCCAAGTTTGGTAACAGCACTCTGACTGCGATCATCTTGGAAGCAGGCGGGATCGCACAGTAGAAAACGGACGGCACGCAATAGGCAACATCTTGGATCCTGACCGGCACCCTGAACCACTATCTCCCGTGTTACCACGAACATCGACCGCCGTCGCCGTCGTCGCGTGCATTGGCCTGTTCAGCGTGCGCCGACGTACACATTTGGATGGCACATGCCATAGGCGATGAAGATGGAAATCAGTAAGGGCCTACTGCTACTTGTCTTAGTGTCCAACTAACTAAGTTACTTCACAACGCCGCCGTGTGCTCTGCGGAACACGTGAAGCCATCGTGCAAGCAACGAGAGTCACTGGCACGTGACAGAGTCGTCAGGGATACCCGAGAAAGCGATCGCCAGCACGTAGTTGACTTTCACTTTCGAATCGGGTTAAATAGCGCTGCACCAGGTCTGTGGCGGACGCTGCCGAACGAGCTACGTCTAATAAAACGAGCTGTGTCGCTCTGCTTCGAATTAGATCACTGTTTGTCAACTCCAGTAGTGTATTCAAACGAAGGAGGTTGGAGTACAGTGGCTTTCGTTGTGGAGCGGTAGAGCCTTGTGTTGCAGCGGAAACCTACTTGGTGGAAGTATCAAGGTACTCAACCGTTTGAGAAGACATCAAGGCATCTCCAGTGCCTGCGTCTACAGTTCCAAGTCTAAAGAGGAAGAAGGAGAACTACTTTGAACGTCAAGATGATTACGAGACTGCCTGCCGTCACAGCTGTGCTAGGTAAGCTTCGTTTTGTTCTTGTGTTTCCCATTACCTGTTCCTGGGAGGCCAAACGCTAGTTTTGTCTTCTGAGGAAGGCCCGTTGGCGGGGCGCAAAGTGTGCTCGCATCGTAGACGAGGCGCGATGAGCTGTTTCATAGCCTGCGCGCGATCCTCGTGTGTGTGTGTGTGTGTGTGTGTGTGTGTGTGTTTGTGTGTGTTGCGACCCGTTCAGACGCACAGGCTAAGCGTATCAATGGTTGAAATGAGAATGGCTGAGCTACGCCATGTCTGTAGCGAATCATTCTTGTGCACCTTGGCGGACAAAGTCGAAAGAGAACCCTAATGGAAGCACGGTGCAATTACAAACCTTGAGAATCTGATACATGGCTCTAGAAGCACAGATGTATGCTTGGCAGGGCTAGCGCATGTCATATAGCTCAGTTCCATGTGATTTTTTTAACTTTCGGCTAGGTAAGCTTTCAGTAAGATCTAGCTGAGAAGCGCGATAGCCAAAAGTGGTGTGAGCATCCAGCCACCGAAGAAACCCCTTCTGCAGTCGTCCTAGCGGAGAAGATTTAATTAATTCGACTCCCTCTGCCCCAGTGCAATCTTTGAAGGGCCACGGGCAATCGACGGCAACACCACCTACTGGCTGACGACCAGTTGATCATCTTTCCCCTCGCAACAGACTCCAGCTAGCACCATTTCAACAAGATGGTGACAATATGATACAAATTATTTTGGCAAGTAAGGTGTCGACACCATATTCATGTGCTCGTGCATTCACGATGGTTGATAATTTACTGAACACAAGACAATTTTGCATGGAAGAGCTTTGCATGTGATAATCATTTGTGAATGGGACTCTCTTACTGGATTCGGTTTGTCGAAATTATCTTTTCCCTGCCACTATCCTAAAGTGCAATTGGTTCAGTTTACCGCCCAGGAAGTTACTTCACATCATGCACTTGTCTTTGGTTCGCTTGCACGCCACTGCACAGCGACTAGTAGATCGTCATTGTCCATGTATGTAGGGGCATGGAGAAGCGTGCGGCCGAGCGGGAATAGTTCCTGTAGTACCCAGACGAACAAAACGACCACAATGTATGGCTGAGAAAGTGGCACACAAGTGTCACGGTCTGCGAGTAGCTAAGTGCTGTATGGTGTTGCGAGCAGCCTGGAACAGACCTCAGCGAGCAGCTAGATGCCGTATAGTGGTTCGAGTAGCATGGAACGGACTTCCTGCAAGAATTAAAAAATCATAGTAGTTCTGCATTTGCTTTTACATAACCGTTTGTAGAAACTCGACGCACGAAGAAAAAAACATACATTGTATGAGGCTTTTCAAAAAGAAACAACTAACAAGAAAATAGCAGTATTCGCGTCTCCTCGTGTCCCTTGGTGTGTTTCCCATCACAAAGCCAGCCATCATTGCCAAACACTAATGTGCGCCGATGATGCATGAACTAGCCCTGGGACAATGTAGTGCAGCCATCAACTGGGCTGAAGGAGGTCGATCACATGTGAAATGCTTCCAAGTGTTATGGGAAGATGCCGCTGCATTTACTGATCAAGTTCTAAGACAAAAAACCGATTCAGCGTACTGAAAGGTCTACGCTTCATGGCGAAGCACGGATTCAGTCGTTAATTTGATGACCAATTATGTTGTATCGTCTGGTTTGTCATGTTCAGAGGGTATTATGGAGAGCACGGGGAATAATTCCATGAGAAGAACACCCTAAGAATGTGTTCATGGTGTAGATTCTTTGCAGTGGCAGAATATTGTTTTGGCAATAGGTAGACTTATAATTTAATGTCGAACCAAGCCAGATGAGACTAGAAGGTAGGGCGCACCACAGCACACTTTGCTTCGGTTTGAGCCTGCGCGTCCGCGAATCAAAATGCACTACTTGCGATAGGCGAAGTATGCTGCGTCACATGCACGTCATCACCGTCTCAAGCTTAGTGATTTTGACTCAGGAGACGCGCATGATTGCAGATGATGAGTTGCGGCAATGCTCCACCCGGGATCCCGTGTCTGCACTCAAGCAGAGTAGAGGTGCCTGGCTGCTGTTTTGTAACTACTTCGTCCTAGGCGGTAGAGCGCTTATGGCTTAGTGAGCAACCGCTGACAGGTGTAGCTGATACTGCATATGCGTTGCTAGGTTCGGTATAATGCAATAGGAGCATAATTTGATCAACTCAAAAAACCCCTGTGACGTTCCAGTAACGTACGACCGCCTTCTGGAATCTCCATAATTATGTAGCTACACAACGACTATACAATGACTCTTCCTAGCCGCGATTTCTCATCTTAACGGCCGCTTCGCAAATACTGATGATGGCAATGGTGTACGTGCAATCCAATCCAACCACTATCTACATTGAATCCTGCCTCGTTCCATGAATGTAGATTATTACATAAAATGGCGAAATGACTCGGCCAGCAGGTGTTAAAAAACATACTACTCGTCAATAAGTCAATGTTCACCATGCCTGAGTCTGTTGCCAACGCACCCAACAGATACTTGTATGATGTAGTGTACATGTACATGTACATAGGCGACAAGCCTCTGGGTCATCCTAATAAAGATATTATTATATTATTATTATTACATACTGTATAGTATAATATCACCTGAGGGTTCGCCTATGCACCTATTGTGTCTAACGCCTCATCCGACACCTTGCTAGACCATGGAGGTGCAATGTATCTCCTCAAACACTATAATGTAATTTTAAATTAGTTTGCGATTGGCTCGTAGGATTCACAATGTTATCAGCGTGTGTCGCGCGTTTTCTTACATCTACACGTAAACGTACATGCACGGTCCTATGACATGCACTTAGTGTTGCTATTTGCAATATTTTATCGCATTGATTCTGTACCAGCCACAGCCGCTTTTACTCAGCTGGCTCCTCTGCTGCTTTCACGCGCGATGCGGTGACTCTTTTGCGGTTTATTGGCAGCAGCCCTTCCTGTAGAACCTTCTTCCCTGTACACGGTTAACCGGTTCGCCACTTGAACACTTAGTGCATTTTGTGGCACGCATGGTTTTTACTCAGTCGTGTGTTCTGTGTGATTCTCTTCTCTGTGCATTTAGCTATGTTCGTGGTGTGCTCAATGGCCCATGACCCATGGAACACCGATTACACATCACAGAGAGGTAAGTCGCTTTTCCGCATGGACTTGAACATACATAATACATTACCAACAGTGGTTGACCATAGCGGTGCGCACGAACTACATTGCTTAATATGGAACTTCAACGCAAGAGTGTGGTATAGTCTTCCTGCTTGTGCCCTTGTTCGTTTTCCTGGACCTTACCGGTCATCATGTACATGTACATGTATCATGGTGTACACAGTCCATGCTTCGTTGTGATATGCCTGAATCTAGCGTTTCATCATTTTTTCTGTTGTAGTACGTCAAGATGGCCACGGTAAATGTACTTTTCCTGGATTTTTTTTACTTGTGCAGGTCCGTTGTTCTGGGGACAACGACCAGAGTTCAAGATGTGCGGTCTCGGTCGCGAGCAATCACCCATCAACATCCGCAGGTCGTCCACCATCTACCAGGATTTCCCACCGCTCGCTTTCGAGCTGAAGAGCCCGATTGTCCACTCCAACATTGAGAACAAGGGCTCGGCGACGGCGGCCTTCCCCTTGTCTGATATTCCAATTCTGTCCGGCGGTCCTCTGGGAAACAGGAAATATCGCGTGTACAACGTTCATCTTCATTTCGGCAACTATTCATTCCGTGCCGCGGAGCACGCTTTCGACGGTGTCCGCACAACTGGCGAGGTAGGTGATGCTAGTAGAACGTACTCGTGCCCGTGCTTGTGCTACAAAGGCTTTCAGAAATCACAAGATGCATTTTTAAATGGATATTCCATCCAATGTTGAAACCATAACAAGCACTTATCCAGTTCCCTAATAGGCGATTCAGACTACGGGCAAAATCACGTCTGAACTTGAATGTCCATGGTGATGCAGTCGTGTTTCAAATATTTATGCACAATCGCTGATCAAACACGTCTGAGTCGTGGAAACTTGGTCACAGTCGGCCGTAGTCTGAATAGCCTATTAAGGTGCCAATCATGATCATGTACACTGCCACGTAGCAGAGCAAATGAGATTTGAAAACTAATAGGAAATGCCTTCACAACTGGTCGACGGTACAAAGCCATTCTGTTACAATACCCCGTCTGAATCACGAGGAATGTTGCCAGGTAACGAGAAAATTAGCCGTCTGATAATGCAGTCCTTGACCAACCTGACGACTAAATCGCGTCGACCACGCACCTGACCTGAATTGTATGTTGGGTTTTTCTGTGTTCAATGCAGTTCCACATCGTGACGTATGACAGCCGGTACCCCCATATCAAGGCCGCACTGGGCTCAGGCAGGCGTGGAGCGCTCGCTGTACTGGGAGTTATGTTCGAGGTGAGTAATGCACCATACCACCACATCACTATCCTCGCTATAATTGAATACATTGAACTAAAGAAAAGTGTGTCACTTGCACGCTTGTTTTCAATATGGGAGTACATGCACAGAATTCATTTGTTTCAGGGAGTAGCACCAATTCAAGGGGATTCCACAAATCATTGAGAATTTCCTCTTTGTATCCTTGGTTTTCAGGCTCGCAACGTCTCCAATATTGACATGGGAGTTACGAATCTCATCGAGCTCTCCTCCAATGTCACCTACAAAGGTGAGTGGCGAAGCGTAGCTCGTGGCCTTTGCAACTGTTTGATTGAATTCTACGTGTGCGTGGAGTTGGTACTGGAGGCTCCAGCAGGAGTCGTGCATTATATCCGACCTCTGATTCCATTCCTGAAACGGGTTATGATTCCCGATTTGGACCTTGGGATACAGTCCACATCATGGACCACATGTCAAGGTAGCGTGTAGTATGATTATTCATAATTTGTCCATCAAGTACCAGTACATGTACTTGCATTGCTCAGTCATACCTTCTCCTCCTCACTGCTGTCACTGCTGTTCTACTTTCTGCCCGGTACAGGCGATCACTACATGACGGGTATCGACTTCTCCAATCTCGTATCCGAGGTTGATATGGGATATTACTACGCCTACAACGGCTCCCTGACTACACCCACCTGCAACGAAGTTGTTCAGTGGATGGTCATCGATCGCATCCACTACGTTCTGCCGGAGACGGTAGGTTATTTTCTGCTTGATAACATGAGGTGTTTGCGTCGTGGAACATAGACTCCTCACCGAGGAGTCTAGCCGTCACTGGTGCGGAGTACTTGTGTGTTACAAGGTCCGGATTGCTTCTGGCCACAAGGAAAATGCTTGTGCGCAGGTGTTATTCTATTTCGTTCTGGACATTGTACCTGTTTGAATTTAGACCGGATCGCACGATTATTCCTCGCATGAAACATGGTGTCACGTGCTCTCTTCTTCATCCTGCAGGCTGATCTATTGCTGGAACTTAAAACTGGTTACAGACGCGAGCACTCAATCCCCATCTTCGGAAACACACGTCCTCTTCAGCCACTGTATGGCCGAAAGGTTCTGAGGAGCTTCGGGGTGAGTTCAAAACGGTTTTTTTTTACATTGGGTGAATAACACTGTAGCTGCAGGTTTTTCAGGATAGGAGACTTCTTTCATTACAGAGTTCACGGAATGCAGTGGAAAGTTTTGTGTCTGAAAATCTTGCAATACATTACCCAGTTCTAAGTTGAACATGTGTGTGTGCTATTGCATTACCCAGTTCAAAGTTGAACATGTGTGTGTGCTATTACATTACCCAGTTCAAAGTTGAACATGTGTGTGTGCTAATTGGTTCACTAGAAGTATATAGTTATTTGTTGTTTCTAAACGTAAGGTGTTGTATTGCTTCGCTTTGCAGCCCGTCGTCACTGATGTCCACGATCAGGGAGAGGAGATCGTATACAGCTCTTCTGATCTTGTCGGTAAGTGCATTGCATTAGAAAACAGGCACCTTCCAATAGACTTTGATCCAATCATTCAAATGAAAATATCCCATGTTGGTGTACTTGGAAGTAGTTGTATTTCATCCTTAATTGGGTATAGGCCATGAACTGTAATCATGCTAAAGTTCTATGTTCTTATGTTTCTATGCTCAGGTCCTCTCGGTCGTGTGATGCTATTGGCCCTGGCGGCCATCGCTACATTTGTCATCAAGGCATAACTCACAGAGCGTCCAAGTCTTCTTACCCGCCACTTTCATCTCCAACTGATCTCCTTTCCTGCTTCTCCTGCCCTGCCCCCTCTTCTCATACCGAATCTCCTGTAGTACAATCGCTGGCCTGGTGACCACCACGTGACGTGACGGGGTGCGCATGCTGTTGGCTCCTCTGTGGTCACACTGCACAAGACGTTGCTCATACAGCTGGTATCTGTACAAACGAAATTTGGATCTTTATCCCCCTCTATGCCTGCGCCTGTTCGCGAATGTGGCATATTTCTGTTACAAATAATCAACAGAATGACCTCCAGAAGTATTATAACAAATTATAATATGATGCTACTATCCCGCATGGAAAGGTTGCCCTCTGCCCATTCTGCAAACAGTGGAAAGCTGTTTCTCTATTTAGATTACAGATTTAAACGTAACTCTCCATATGGACTAAACCTTTTTTTTGCTATAATATCTCACATTGGCGCTGTTCTGTACAAGCAAATGAGATTATCTATAACTATAAACGGCGCACGTGCAGTGGCAAATACGGTTTTATGCATAGAAATTCCTGCCAGGACTCAAGTATTGTATAAGTCCTTGTTGAGGATGCATCTATTATCTATTCTTATTTTTATTATAATAATTGAGTACTGTCCTCATTCTAACGCACATAGTTTTTTGTCAAGACTAACTCTGCAACACTAAAGATGCCATCACTCTTCCTCACTTGTGGACAGCCAGTACACTGTGAGCAAGACGAGTTTACATGCACGTGTAAGCGGGATATATCATACGAAGTACTTCCCATATTATCGCACTAAAACATCACACTTGTCTAAAGCGAGTACTTGACAGACCAATTAACTTCACAGCACACAGAACTCAGGATAGTAAAGTTGCAAAGTTGCAACTCCCCCTGAGTTTCGCCCGCCGCCATTGTCATGCTAGCAACACACATTGTACATGTAATACCACCAAATAAGCTTTTTTTGTTTTATGTACACTTGCAATTGCAGGCAGTGGTTAGCGAAGAAATACTGGTGTACACTGATTGGATGGTGAAAAACAGTATTCTGGTGTACTTCGGAGCAACACGAATGGTGCTAAACCTCTAACACACCACCCAGTCTGAGTTCTGATTAAGTACAAATTTGAGGGCCTTTTTCACATCAATCACAACCATTCCTACGGGATTGTGAAGGGGAAGAACCAGGGGGGGGGGGCAAGACCACTTAGTAGTAGAGGTCACACAATGAGGCTGTGCCCAAGGCAGAGACCAAGCTCAGAAGGCAGGCCAAGTTGCATGTGGTATCTAAGTATTATGGCCTTGACTCTAGATGACAACACTCGGTACACTACATCATTATTACCACTGGAAGACTACCGAAGCAACTCTGAAGTGTGAATATTTTTTTGAAAAAATAAAAATGGCAGTGAGTTTTTTTAAATGCAAGTCAAATGGCTGTTGTTCCACTAGGCATCTCACGCCTACAATGTGTACACATTCAGAATATGTAGTAGAGTGCAGATAGGCTAGCACACACTCTCAGCGTTCGAGACCATGTCCAGTGTATGTATGTGAGAATAAAAACCTTGAGCATTGGATGGCCAGAAGTCTAGTACAGTTAGCTATAAAGGTTTGTAAAAGACACGCGCCCAATGTGCACAGTCAGCAAGCGAAAACGCTACTTTAAAAGTGCAGCCAAGACAGAAAGGAGATTTTCGAAGAATTCGCAGTCACTTGTGGTGTGGAAGTACTCATGCATCTCCTCTTTCACCTGCCATACAGGAATATTTAGCTGGTCAGTTTTTCAGTGTTGCAAAAGTGAACACGAGGACGGTCGTTGTCAGGACAACAGGCGCTGTGAGAAAATGTGGACAAGAAAAAGAGATGCAGCTCTAATCGGTCGATCTCATCACAAATAACCATCACCCAACAAAGACAGTTTAAGTACTCCTGTGTTTTATGTGTGTGGCTTTTACCATATCCATTCCCTAGCACACGAAGACGAGGTTTTGGTTTGCTAGAAACACGTCAATTGGACAAAGCAAATCTCACGTTTATCCAAGCGACCCAGTATACCCAGTGATACAGATTCAAAATGGCTTCGATGCACTGTCGCCACTGGCTATGTGTATGTGTGTGCGGGTGGGTGTTTGTGTGCGTGCGTGCGTGCGTGTATGTCCGTGTGTGCGTGAGCGTGCTTCTCTTGCGATGGAGTATACAGTGGGCGTGTGTGTGCATCTGCGTCTACATGCATGTATATACGTAACTTCATGAGGATAACAGTTCTCCCCTTTCAGGTCATTGTTAGAGAGTTGAACTCAGATATTGCGACATCGGGGGAAAATGGTGAAGAGCGTGTCTGCTCCGAACTTTAGAGCTCGAGCTTTCTGGCGACTGACCTGGCACTTGACTGATTCACGAATAAAAAGTCGAAAGTTGTTTGAACGTTGTGTTGGCAAAATTCGATAATATTGGACACTACATCATCCATATTCTCTGTAGGTTTACTGATTTAATGTTTGAGAAGCTTGCTCCGGTTTACACTCAAAATACATGTATTTCCTGTTTAAGTACTTCAAGTAAGTATAAATTCGCGGTATGAACTGCACATAAAAATGAGAAAGAAGCTAAGAAATGCCTTCAACAAACGTGATCAATCACGAACTGCTACGGATTGCTATGCCGCTGTTCTGCACAACATGCCTACAGATATACCGTTATATTATATTGTTAGGTTCTAGCTGAGCCTACCTGCTGCTATTGGTGAAACACCTGAGGTGGTTGTCGATACTACAGGTGTAGTACTAGCAGGCGCGTTCCCCGTTCTCCAAGTAGACGGTGCAATTGAAGGTTCACTTTGGGGTATCTGTGAGAAAAAAAAGAAGAATTCCCTGTTCAGAACTGTACTGCGATTCTGCGTCTTCCCTCATCATCTTGTCATGCCTAACACGCTCAGTTCGCTGTGATGGTAAGGTGAATTTCGTTTTCAGTGTGCTCACCTCACCTTTGGACGTTATTGCATAACTTACTCAAAACCAATACAAACTGGTAGCTTGCACATTCATTCTAGACGTGTCGGAGGTACTCCAGGTCGTGCAAGTTCAGTACGATATCAGTCAGCATTGCGCTAACTCCTGCACGATCTGACTCCACGGTACTGTACCTGGAAATTCCTGTAGATGGTTCGACCGTTCAAGGCCTGCACTGGCCGAGCATTTCCGATGATGAGCTTGGACGTCAGGGTGCTTCCGGAGCGAAAGTGCGAGATCGCGTCAATCTGAATGCAAGAATGTACCACATTAATACAGTTCTTAGTCAAGAAGGCAGGTCCCGAGAAAGAAATTCGTTTACATACTAGTATTATGGTCAGGTACCATAATGCAATCCGGTCAGTCTAGGGCAGTAGCCCGCCCATTCCCAACCCATTTCATACTCAACACACTGACGCGACCTTTAGACAGAACATTGGAAGATGGCTACATTATGGTATACGGAGCTCAAAACGTGATTCAACCTACCCCATGAGGCTGTCCATCTGAAAGACAATCTACGCGTTGTATGTGTACATCGTAGGGCCAAAATAACCGTATTCCGTAGATCGTACCTGCGTTAATCGATAACCTACCGACTGTTTTCACAGCCATTTCAGCTCATTTTCTCTCGTACTAAGCTGTTGACCTTGCACTTGTGTTTATTTTGCCCGTACAAGAGGCTTGGATCTTAGTGTAAAAAAAACCTAAAAAAAAACCTACCGGTATCTACATGTAGATGTCAACATTTTCTCAGAGTGTGAATTGAAGGGCTGAGGGGAAGCCAACACAACTTTAACTCCGCACTCAATCAGGACTAACCAGAGTGGACCGGACGTACTGCGTTTTCTCCATCACCAACCACTGAACGGTTTCTTGGCAGTTCGGCGTTGTCAAGGACCCCTCATATGTGTAGAAGCGATCTATATCTTCAGGGCGTAGGAGATCGGACATGTTGAAACTGTGCGTTGTTTCGTTCCCTGAAGCATATAGAGTTTCTAGATGGAATTACAAGTCATGTATAGAATGAGGCTAATCATGCAAGCATGAACAGAACATGTGACTGCGATGTGGAAAGGTAGTATCTGATCTCTTTACCATGGACGTAACGTATATCTCCTCTCCTTTTCTCTGTTGTCTCTCGCCCTTACCCTCTCTCACCCTCTTACCCTTGTATGTGAGGCTGGCGACGTTCTCGAAGAACGACTGGAGTCCCGCATGATAGTAGCTCTCGTTTACCTAATCGATAGTGCACAAATAAAAATAGGAACCAAGTCGACTTCCAGCCACGACTCAGAGCAATTTTTGTACTCCAGCTTCATTTATCGTCCAACCTGCAAAACACTAAATGTCCCCTGGCCACACCATGGTCACATTGGATACAATCAGTTTAGGTGGCTTTGCCAAGGACTGCTTGGGCGTTTGCAGGTTGGACGGTAAATGGAACAATGCCCAAGCTAGAGTGGAGTTTCACAAAAAGATCGTTACACTTTATCTCACGCAATTACCTAGGGTACACAGTTACGACAAGCACAGATTGTCTGAATTGCCAAGACAACATGCCTGCATAAAACGGAGTTTTAAGTTAAACCTGTATGAAGAATAATCAAAAACTGCCAACGCATGATAGATAATGAGTGATCAAACAAGTGAGTCTCTTCAATGTCATTTCAGCAGCTCTCGGGATCAAACGCTGCCAATTGAAACTAGCTCTGATTCCCTCTAAATGGGGTCACCTGTTCTTTGGAGTATAACTCCGGATACCACTCCAGGCTGAGTATTAGTATTCTTATTTAGCTTCTGAGTACTTACCCATAAGCCAGCGGCGAAGCGAATACCAATCACAGCAATAGCGCTGGAACTGTTGTCCGCAGCTGCATCGCTCAAGGTAGTGAAGCTTGAGTTGTAGAAAACGGCATGAAGCTTTTGACACAGAAAGAGTAAAGACAAGAGAGATCTCACAAAAGATGCAATGAAGGGCCTTCGTCCATGAGCTGAGAGCTTGTGATGGTGGTTTGGCTTTGGTAAGGATGTATTTTGGTTAGCATTCGCTTTAGCGCACCCGAAACCGCACTCGGCACCACAGCATACTCACACTAGTATCTGCTACATCTATATCAGCACCAATATCACGGGGTTCGGGTGCGCCGAAATGTTCCGCCTTCTATTACTATAGCTTCGCGTAACCCAGCGCCAGAACGTGTAAACCGCAGGATTCCCATCCATACCAGATGACAACTGGCCTGCCTGCCAACACCCGGAATAGCTGTCTCCAAGGATTCCCTGCTTGCACCGTTGCAACATGGAATGCCCTGCCACCAGACCTGTTCCACCACCCACCCGCCCAGCCCCACATGCAAAGCTTTAAGAAAAAGGTGTACCGTCACCTTCTTGCTCAGGACTGGCTCTCTGCTACTGATGCACTTTGAATCTGCTCGCCAACGCTTTCCCTGTTCTTATTTGTGTTCAGCTGCTTACCTTATAACCCTGCTGCCATCATCACCAATATTCTGATTCTCATGCACATGTCCCAGAACCTGCTATCCTTCGCAGTCCCCATCACCAAGAGCACTGTGCTCTTCTATCTCCCAGCTCTCTCCCTCTCTCTCTCTCTCTCTCTCTCTCTCTCAGACTGACAACCTGCTTGTTAAATCATGCACCTGCTTTCAGGCGTAAAAACCCTGTTGTAGAGGTCTCAGTCCTCATTTGTTAGACTTACCTGTCTTTATAAATGTAACTTACTCCCTCTCTCTCTTTTTTTCTCTCTCTCTCCCTCTCTCTCTCTCTCTCTCTCTCTTTCTCTCTCCCTCTCTCTCTCTCTCTCTCTCTCTCTCTCTCTCTCTCTCTCTCTCTCCCTCTCTCTCTCTCTCTTTCTCTCTCTCTCTCTTTCTTCTCTTCTTCTCCCCCCCCCCCCGTCTCCCGATAATTATTAGCCCCCTTTTTCTTTCGACGCGTTTGCTGTGCAGTGAAGCCGAGACCCTAGGTCGGTGGAGCACATCAGACCCCGTCACCACGTCCACGATTCATGCCTGCGATGCTGCACCGCTGCTTTGCATGTCATTATTGGAAGCTGTGGCCTTAGTAAAAAAAAAAAAAAAAAAAAAAAAAAAAAAAAAACCTCCACCGATGCAGCGCTAATAACGGTTAGCCTTGGTTGCTTTATCGCTGTCTTGTTTTCAGTTGGTGTTACAAATAGCAATAGTGAGAGAACGTGTATAAAGTATACGCAAGAATACGCAAGTATGCGTAAGTACAAAATAGACCGGTATGAACTCTCAATACAATGGCATGTAGACACAGCACTGGACATTAGACATACCTCGCCGGTAGTGCGGGCCCTTTCAACTGAATGCTCAGAGGCCGGCATGCTTTTATTTCCATAGTGGATGTGTATATTGTGGAGTTTGTAGGCAGCGCCTAGCGGGCCACCACGCAACAGGATATTGCCCCCCGAAGAGACGACCGGGTGACCTGATACATCATGGCCTCCGTTTCCGAACTTGAACACCGCGTTGCCCTCTGGCACTGTTAGGTTCAAAGCAGGATATGGCTGGTAGATTGTTGACGGTGGGACAATATTTATTGGTGATTGCTTCCGACCATCTCTACAGATTGCAGAAACGTTACCCCAGTACTTCGGCCCTGTGTGAGGTGCCACACGATAGGAGAAAAAGAACAATTGTAAACATTCATAAGTTGAGGGAATGGGAAAGGGAAAAGTCTGAACAAAACATTGACTGTCACCACCAGAAATCGAACCAGGGGCCGTCGATTGAAGCCAGCGATGAGCTGTGGTGTAACTGTCATCCCAGCAGAATGGTCAAACATTATGTTTAAAGCCATGATGGATTGGACTTTACTAGTGAAGAAGCAAATGGCGAATTTGAAATCTCTCCCAATCTTTGCTGCATATAATGAGCCCATGTAGCTTTCACGAACAATTCAAGGACAGTAAAATCTGTCAAAGCGACCACTAGGATAAGGCGACCTCCTGTCCCAGAGAACCACTATTATT